CAGGCAATCCTTCCACCTTGGCCTTCCAAGTAGATGGGACTACTGTCATTCACCACCACACTGACTTTTTTTTTTTTTTTAATTATAGAGATGAGTTCTCACCAAGTTGCCCAGGCTGGTCTTGAACCCCTGGGCTCAGGCAATCCTCTCATCTCTGCCTCCAAAAGTGCTGGATAACAGGCATGAGGCACCGTGCCTGGCCAGTAATTTTAAGAGAAAAGGCAGGATCTCTTTCACCAAGGCTGGAGTGCAGTGATGGGATAAATAGCTCACTGCAGCCTTTGAACTCCAGGGCTCAAATGATACTCCCAGAGTCTCGGCCTCCTAAGTAGCTGGATTGCATGCACATGCCACCACACCTGGCCATTTTTTTATTTTTTGTAGAGATGAGGTCTCACTATGTTGCCCAGGCTGGTCTTGAACTCTTGACCCCAAGCAATCCTCCTGCCTCAACCTCTTAAAGTGCTGGCCACTTTAATTGTGTAAGCCAGTATACCCGACCCTTCATTAATAATTTTATTAAGACTTTTTTCTTTGCATATAAATAAATGTTTATACATATAAATGGGTTGTTTATATGTGTACACATATGCAATTTTAAAAATAAATAGGGCAAACCCTTAGGGTCCCCTCCTACTGTGGGAGCTTTTTTGTCCTCTCAATAAATCCTGCTTTCTAAATAAATGAATAAATATTTTTAAAAATAAAAGTAAATAATGGCTCATACTGTGTGTTCTTCTGAGACCTGCTTTTTCACTTAACTAAATAAAATGATCATTTTCCCCATTACTACATGTAGAGCTATTCTAGTTTTTAATGGCAGCAAAGTAGTTATTGTTTGAAGGGGTTATAACTTATTTAACAAATTGGGCCCTTAATGATGAGCTTGTAGGTTGTTTCTAGCTTTTCACTTCCACAGACAATACTGGAATGAATATTTTTGTGCATATATCTTCTTTGCACACTTTGGCAGAGTAAGTATAGGCTAAACTCCGGGGACTGTCCTCCTCTGGGGATTGTGTCCTTCCGGGTTCTGTATCCTCAGCACCGGGTATAAAGAAAGTGCCTAGTAAAAGTGTTTAAGTCTCCTGAATCTAGGTCTCTGATGTCCTGCAGTATCTTATTTATCTTTATTTTTAGCATCTACAACAGTGACCGAGTACACAAAAAAATTGTTTGCTGAATGAGTAATCTCAGGGATGTGGAGAAATCCTCCCAAAAAGGAAAATATCAGTAGTGATTTCTGCTTTAAATGATGTGTGTTTCAAAAGCACTTTCCTAAGCAAAGCCTGCTGGGAATCACCTTTAGACAATTCTAATGAGTGTTCTGCATTCCTCTTCCTCCTCCTCTTTCTTTTCCTTCTTGTGATGAGTATTGATGTTTGCCTTTACCTGGTCTGCAGAAAGGCTAGATAAAAATTCTTTTTTTTTTTTTTTTGAGTTGGAGTCTCACTCTGTCGCCCAAACTGGAGTACAGTGGCCGCTCCCGGCCACCGCAGCCTCGACCTGCTGCGCTCCGGCAATCCTTCCGCCTCAGCCTTCCAAGTAGCCAGAATTATAGGCATGTGCTACCACGCCTGGCTGATTTTTTTGATTTATTGTAGAGATGAGGTCTCACTGCCCAGGCAGGTCTCGAACCCGCGGGCTCAGGCAATCTACTCACCTCAGCCTCCCAATGCGGGATTACAGGCTGAGCCACCGAGCCCGGCTGATAAAAATTCTTGATAAATAATTGGTTAGAATGAGAGTTAAAGTCTCTTCATACTATGTTACCCTTGTCTTTCCTTCAAAGTTACATTTTTTTCCACCTCCAAGATTTTCTTATCAGAACCTTTAAAGCAGGGACAGTTTCCTGTTTAAGCCCTACGTGACTAGTGCCTAACGTAGTACCTGGTGCAAGCGGGCCTTGGGTAGATGTGTGGAGAATAAAGGATTCAAGCAGTATAGGGCTATGCAGTTGGTATTAATTGGAGACGTTTGCTAAGGGTTTTGACCATTTTCCCAAACTTAAAGCCTTTTTCTACTTCCCTTTGTTCAGTAATGTCTCTTTTATTATATAAGATCTATTTCTTTTTTATTTTATTTTTTTGAGTTGGAGTCTCATTCTGTCACCTGGACTGGAGTGCAGTGGGACACTTACGGTCACCCCCAGGCTCTAGCGATCCTTCCACCTCAACCTTCCAAGTAGCTGGAACTACAGGCATGCACCACCATGCTCGGCTAATTTTTTGATTTATTGTAGAGATGAGGTTTCACCTTGTTGCCCAGGCTGGTCTTGAACCCATAGGCTCAGGCAGTCCTATCACCTTGGCCTCCCAAAGTGCTGGGATTATAGGCGTGAGCCTCCGTGCCCAGCCTTTAGGGTCTATTTCTGAGCTTCATTTTTTATTCTATCAATTTGTGTTTGTGCTGGCCCATATAATTTTAACTATTGTTGCTTTATAATATGTTCCAGGATCTTATAAGGCTGGTCGTACTTCATAGCTTCTCTTTTTCAAAATAGTATGTTATACTCTTGCCCAGTTATGTTTCTAAAATAAATCTAGAAATATTTGGTTGTATTGTAATAAAAACAACCTATTGAGATTTTTACACTTGACATTACAGTAAATCTATAAATTAATTTCTGTACTGGCATCTTTGTGCTAATCTCATAGCATATTTTTCTTTATTCAAATACTCTGTTATGTACTTTAGTAAAAATATATTACCTTATTCTTCACATGGATCTCTCATTCAACAGCCTGCTCTCCTGATTCCCATCTCGGGCCACTGTGCCACTGTGCTGGAAATGCAAAGATGAGCAGGTCCCAGCTCTTTCCCTCAAGAAGCTCACTTTGGTGAGCAAATGAGGTAACTGATCAGTTAATTGCAACTAACTGTAGTAATTACTGTAGAAGCATACGGTGCTAGAGAAGTATAAAGCAGGGGTACCAACCAAGACTGGGGGTATTAAGGAAGACTTCCTGGAGGAGGGGACCCCTGACTGAGTGCTAAATGAGTCTTAAAGGCCAAATAGAAGTTAGCCAGATGAAGAGAGAAGAAAGGGCTCATTGGGGTATATGCTCAAACGTAAGGAGACAAGAAAAAATAATCAAACCTTTTAGGAGCTGCAGGTAGCTAGGGTATTGGGGGCAATGAAATAGTCGCTGGAAATGAAGATAGGAAGTAGATGGGAGGGGTGATTGTGAAGAGACGTGAAGAAGTAAGAGTTTAGATGTAGGACTGAAGGATCTAAGTGGAGAAGCGAACGGTCAAATGTTTTAGGGGGGAAAAGTTCCCTACAAAGGACTCCTTTGTTATTTAAATAAAGGCCACTCTAGCTGCATTAAGGGGTACCAAACTTAGCTAGAGAGGCCAGTCAGGGGCTCTGTAGTCACCTAGGGATGGAGAAAAAGGAGCAGTTAGAGCTATTGAGGGGTGCATTCTTCATGCAATGAACTTGTTATGCACAGCAGTGTGTGATGAATCATTCTCTTTCATTGAAGAAGTGAGCACACATGCAGGCAGCACACATGCATGTCGCACACCCACTCTTGGTAATGCACTCCTGATTGCTTTATGGTTCCTACTAGTTTAAGCAGGATTTTTTTCCCTGTTGTATTCTGACTGGCTAGTGCTATTAAGAAGGCTATTACTTTTTAAAAAATATATCTATCTTGTATTCTGAGTGTTTAGTTGATTCCTTTTACTTTTCTAAGTATTTATATTTATCTAAGTACATTTGCATATTTTTATTTTTGGCCCTTTGCCTTTTCCCCCCATTTTTATTATGAAAATCTCAAATATACACAAAACTAAAGAGAGTAATATAACGAACTCCCATATGCACCCAGTTTCAATAATTGTTAAGATTTTGCCCGACTCCACCTTTCCCTATTTGCTTTGTGTGGTTGCTGCAGTATTTTAGAGCAGAATCTCAACCCTTTTGTCATTTTGGCTGTACATATTTCAGTATGCATCTCTGAAAAATATGGATATTTCCTCGTGTAACCACAATACCATTGTTATTGTGCTTAACAAAATTACAATTATTCCTTGGTATAATTTAGTATCTAGTACATATTCATATTCCTTGTTTATCTCAGAATATCTTTTTAACAGTTGGTTTGTTCCTATCGGGATTTGAATCACACATCACATTTGGTGGTTTGGACTCAAGAGACTCTTTTAATCTAAGGCAGTTCCTAACCCTAGCCGCCTTTTGAAAAAATATCATTGACTATTGAAGAAACCATGCCTGTTGTCCTGTGAACTGTCCCACATTCAGAATTTGTCTATTTCTTCATATTACTTATTCCTCTCTCTTATATTTCCTATAAACTGGAAGTTAGCTTTGAATGACTAATTGGATTGTGGTTCTTTTTTTTTTTTTTTTTTTTTGGAGGAAGGGGTAAGACGACTTCTTAGGTTGGTCTGTGAAGTGCTTCCTCTGTCTGATAGTCCGACTCTTAGGGATGCTAACATTGATCTGTGGGTTTAAGTGATGACAGCTCATTTCCCCATTATAAATTTCCCCATCAATCTTTCAATGAGTTTATCCACTGATTTGTCTTCTGAATGAATGATTTCATTAGGAGCTACAAACATTTTTTCTAATTTTGTCAATGTTTTCACATTTATTAGCTAAATAAAGAACAGTCCCTCAATAACTAGGGCTATTTTGTTGTCTTGGAATACAGTATGTACCAAAAACCCAAGATAAGTGCTCAGGTCATTTTCTTTTGTTGTAATTTTGGGGTTAAAGGGTTAGTACCCTAGTCATTCTTCTTAAGATCATGCTCACTACATTGATAACTCACTCCATTGGCAAGGCTGCTGGTGCTCCCCTGGTGAGTATCTTATCTCAGCCTTTGTGAAATGGGTCTTTTGCACGAGAATCTTTACATTCTTGGCTGTGCAAATGACTTTCTCATTGCCACACGTCAGTCCATCTAGTTGTGATTTTCAGAAGAAGACAGACAACCTTTCCTTTGGTTTCTCTTTTCCTTTGGTTCCAGGTCACACTGTGAACAAAATGCGTCAACACTCAGATTCAGAAGTGGCTTGTCTTGCCAGAGAAATTTACACTGAGTGGAAAACTTCCATCGAAAAACATACGGATAGACCTTCTATTGAAGTCCGAAGTGATCCCAAAACCGAGTCATTTAGGAAAAAAGCCCAGAAATTACTCTCAGAAGCCTTGGAATTAAAGGTAATTGCCCTAAACATGTACAATGATTGTGTACCCACAATAATTAATTTTAAAAATAGAGAAAAAATAAATAAGTGCCCTGGTTTGAATGTGTTCAGTAGGTGCTCTTGGTTAAATTAGCCTCATGTTTTCATAATGGGCATTCATAGTCTTAATGCTGTGGCTTTATTCTAACTGGTTATTCTTTAAGGATTCTGGGTTTATAAACCTTCTGAGAGACAGTGTTGTAGCAATACAGGCTTTGGAACTGGGTTGAGACCCTGGCTATAGTACGTTCTAGATGTGACACCTTAGGCAAATCCCTTAACACTATTCCTATCACCTAAGGTATTGGAAAGGCCAAACGAACCATTTACACAAAAGAATATTTATAGTGCTGCTGATTAGAAGTCATTTGATGAGTGTTGATTCTTCCTATTTAAAATTCTTTCCCTTCCCATTAAAGTAAAAATTCTGGGATAGACTGTGTTATGGAATAATGATGGCAAAATAAATAGCCATCTTTTTTTTGTTTTTGAGTCAGAGTCTCACTCTTTCACCCAGGCTGGACTGCAGTGGCACACTGCTCACGGCCACTGCAGCCTTGACCTGCTGGACTCAAGTGATCCTTCCACCTCAGCTTTCCAGGTAGCTGAAATCACAGGCATGTACCAGTACACAGCTAATTTTTTGATTTATTATAGAAACGAGGTCTCGCTATGTTGCTTAGGCTGGTCTTGGACCCCTGAGCTCAGGCAGTCCTCTTGCCTCTACCTCCCAAAGTGCTGGGACTATAGACTTGAGCCACTGCGCCTGGCCATAGGCGTCTATTTAAAAGACTTGATTTCCCCATTATCTGTCAACAGTCACACCTTTAGTTCTAAAACATAAAACCCATTGACTCTATATATTTCCTGTCATCTTCATAGCTAGCAGTTCAGGTGATATTAGTGTTTTGAGGTAAACAAGCTAGAAGGAGTTTGGCTCATTAACAGCTCATGCCTATAATCCTAGCAATTTGGGATGCCGAGGCGATAGGATGCTTGAACCCAGGAGTTCAAAACCACCCTAGGCAACATAGCAAGACCTTGTCTCTACAAAAAATAAAAAATTAACCATGCATGGTGGCATAGGCCTATAGTCCCAGCTACTTAGGAGACTGAGGTAGGAGGACTCCTCAAGCCAGGAGGTTGAGGCTGCAGTGATAGTGCCACTATAGTCAACCCACGCAAAGTAATGAGATCTTGTCTCTTTAAAAACAAAGCAAAAAGCAATAATATTAATCATCATCAAGCAACAAATCTATATTTTACATTGGAAAATATAGCTTATATAGAAAGCAAATTAGAGAGAGAGAGAGAGAGAGAGAAGAGATTCATCTTCCTAAGATAGGGAAGGGGGCCAAGGCTCAGGAAAACAATGGTGGCCATAACTCTATGAGTCACGTGGCCAGACCAGAGTTTAGCAAAGCAATGGCCTTTTTAAAATTTTTAACTTTAAATATGTGGGGTACAATTCAGGGTTAGTTATACAAATGTTCATTATGTAGGTACCC